TTAAGTGGCTTTGTTTTTCATTTGTAACTACTTGAGTAATTTGAGTAATTTATTGAGATAATACTGTATAGCCAGCTATTGACTTAAATTATGGAATCCATAGCGCAAAGACTTTGAGTCTTAGAAGATTTAATAATGACTGTATACTAATGTAGAGACTTCATTTTCCTACAGATACATAGATCAATAATATATAGAAATGACTGGTGACATGAAGGAGTTACTTTGTTTAAATAAGTAGTAAGTTGTCTTCTGTTTATACCTAGGTCAGATGTTTTCTGTGCTTTATGAAGCAAATAGCTTCAGTCCTTTTAATGAAAAGAAAATTGTAAGCTCATAAACTAAATTTGCATTGTAGGTAGGGTGACCAGCAGTCTGTCTGTCTGGAATGCCCTGGTTTTTGCACTGATGTCCCAAGTCCTAAAAACCTCAATCCCCAGGGCAAAGTGGGATGGCTGGTGTCACTTTTATTGTAGATGCATTTGGTCTTCAGTGCTCTTAGGTCCCCCTTTCTGGTTCTTCTCTTGATCTTCATAAACTGGAGATGTTGCTGTTCTCATGCTATATAGAAGGAGGGAACTGATAGAGTAGCCAGCCCAGAGCCTGCTCCGTACCTGAGGCAGAGAGCTTTACAAGTAGGAGCTCACTTAATCCTCACAACATGTGAGCTGTAGGTTTTATTACTCCCTGTTTCATAGGTGAGGAAATCAGGAAACTAAAGAACCTGATCTAGATCATCTAGCAGAGATCTTGTGCCCTTTATCATAACACAAGATGAGTGAAGAGAGCTAGACCAGATAATTTTGGTGGGCACCTGGGTAGACAGGCACATTGCTGGAGTCTGCATTCTAATCCACGTGCAGCCTTCTACTGGCTCTGAAATCTAGGACCAGTAACTTCTGTGAGCATGTTCTTTGTTGAGTAAATGATATGTAAGGTTGTCAGAACATTGAAAATGAAAAAAAAATATGTGCATAATATATCAGTTCATTACATATATAGACTGCTTTTGCCTTTTTTTAAAGAGGTGCTGTGGTGGAAAGAAGTACCTTGAAGGCGGATCTGGGGATAGCTTCCATTTACTAGCATGCTGTGCCATAAGTCAGATGTGAAATAGTAATGTAATATCTTCGCTTTCTTCCAGTCCTTTACTCCAGGTTATGCTTCAGTTTTTTTCTTTGCTGCCTGTTTCATACTGTTTCGTTCACTTCTACCCCGACCACATTTGTTGTCTTTTCTGTAAATAAACATCACTTCACGCCTCTGTTTGGATCAGTCTCTGTGAAATGCCTTTAAACCTTTCTTTCCATTAGCAAGTTGTCCATGGTTGACTTTCCGGACCTTAAATTTTTTGTTTAGAATAAATTCTCTAAACATTTATTTAGTTTATAATGTTTATTCTTTCTGTATTTTATATGGCAAGGTTTTGTCTTCCTGACCAGATTGAGATCCCAGTGGGAACAGACCATAATTTATTTCCTTACTCTATATGCTTTGTTACTGTATCCTTAAGTGCTTAATATAATTGTGGGAGATTGATTTATGTGACAATTGATCACTTATGTTAAAGCCTTATTAAGATTAAAATTATTCCCCTTTCAGACTCCAAAAAACAAAGCTACAATCTTCAAGTTATGCAGCATCTGCCTCTACCTGCCACAGGAACAGCTTACCCACTGGGCAGTTGGCACCATAGAGGACCACCTCCATCCTTATATGCCAGAATAGAGTGCTGACCAGCAAAATGGACAAGATCACAGAGTGCAGCAGCATTTTTTTTTCTTGTTTTCTTACACTTTATTCTTTCAGAGTTTAAAGAAAATGGACTCATGCACAGAATACTATGCATTTTGAAACTTGTTCATCCTGGATTTTTTTTTTTTTTTAATTATTTGTGTCTCAGAACTTAAAAAAAATTAGGTGTCTTCTGCACGGACTGTGTGAAAGAAGATGCATTGCGTATTTGCTGCACTGCATCAGCATCTTACTAAAATGTGAAATGAAAGGACTATTGTACACTGAAATGCTTAAATGTATCTGAAAGCACAAGGTGATACTCGTTTTTGATGGTCTTTCCATTTGTGCTGGTTTTTGCCTCTTTGACATCTGTCCTCAGTATTTAGAGGGTGAGAAGTGATGGTAAAAGGTATAAATAACATTTTAAAAATCTTAGCTTTGCTGTAATTACCGTCGTTCCAGAGCACTGTCAGATTCATTCTAATGACCAGAAGTGGTTGTTTAAAAAAAAAATACGTATAGATACACAACCATGGGAAAGAAATCTGTTAAAAAAAAAAAAAAAAAAAAGCAAGCATCTCATTGTAGGCATTCTTGCCTCATGTTTTACTGGGCCATGTTTGTTTCCTGGTACTCATAAATGTATGTATTTTATTTCCGGATCTCTTTCCCCAAGTTGCTGTTACAAGAGTATTCTGCTGAATGTGGATACAGTTGATGCACATTGAGGCAGGTCTGGAGTCTGAAGTAGCTAAAGCAGCTATGAAAGTGAGAAACACACATTCATAGCTGCAGACACCGTGATAGGTAGAGGACTTTTCCTTTTTTTGGTTGTTTTGTTTTGTTTTGTTTTAAAGAGGAGATTTTTTATTACAAAGAAAATCCAGTGAATTGTGCAGAAATACTGGTTTCTACACCATCCTAAAGGAAAACTTATGAGGGTTTTTTGGAGTAGAAAAAAGTTACTAAAGTTGGGATCTTAAATTGTTTAAAAACCATTGAGTGTCAAAGCTCTAAAAGCAGAACTCATATTGTGCAATGAACATAAGGAAAGACTACTGTATAGTTTTTTTGGTTTTTTTCTTTTTAATGAAGAAAAGCTTTGCTTAAGGGTTGCATACTTTTATGGAGTAAATCTGAATGATCCTACTCCTTTGGAGTAAAACTTAGTGCTTACTGGTTTCCAATTGTATTTAGCTTCTGGTTGGAATTTGAAAAAATGAAAACCTAAATAAAATAGGTGAAAGTTCCCTGACTATTCAGGTGAATACACAAAACTTGCAGTGGTAACTTTTTTTTCCCCAAGTCAATGGGTAGGTGTTACTGATGACCTTGGGGATTATTTTAGAGTCCATAGTTAAATGGCAAATTCAGAAGGACAGAAGTGGCAGGTGGGTTTGTAATTTCAGGACTGAGAATCAAAGACATTTTGTCAGCTTTAACAGTTAGCGGGTTGGCCTTGTTTCTTGCCTCACTGAAGAGAAAATTAGATTTTAAAGTAGGCTCCACACCCAACGTGGGGCTCGAACTCATGACCCCAAAATCAAGAATCACAGGCTTCACCGACTGAGCCAGCTAGGAGCCCTAGAAAAAAATATTATTTCCAAAGACTCTCACATGTTTTCTCAATTGAAAATTAGAATCTGTTTGAAGTAGTGTCTCTGAATGTTTTATTATGGGCAGGTCCTGTTCAAAGCTCTGTTCTTAACAACAGTGTGTGGAAAGAGCCACAGAGGTTTTGTAACTTGCCCAAGCTCACATCCAGGGTAGGGAAGGATTTAGGACCAGGTGGGCTGGCTCTGTAGAATGCAGGCTTTTAACTGATCTACTGTATTGACTTATACATGCTGTAAGTCAGGCACGTAAGCAGCCCTTGGTTTTTAAGTTTTTTAGAATAAATTTAGAAAAGATGTAATAGAAAGCTCCTGTATAACCTTTACCCAAGTCTTAGCCACATTTTTTCCACACTGTTTTTCTACATATATTTATATATTGCTTCTGAATCATTTGAGAATTTGGTACATACATCATGCATACATCTTTGCTCCTTACCCTCTAGTACTTAGCATATGTCCCAAGTACAAGGATATTCTTGCATAACCACAGTAAAGTTACCAAATTCAGGTAGTTTAATTCTGATGTACCTTTATCTGTTGTCCATATTCCAGTTCTGTTAATTGTCCTAATACACTCAGGTCATATCATTCACTATGGGACCCTTGCAGTTAGCTGTCAGATCTCTAATGTATAATGACCTTGACATTTTTGAAGAGTAGGCTAATGTTTTAAAATAGAAAGTGTTCCTCATTTTGCATTTGAATGTTTCTTCAGGGTTAAATTTGGGATTACGCAGTCTGGCCAGTACCCAATTCAAGTGACCTCACTCCCTTCTCCAGTTAATATCCAGAAATGCACGGTCACTTTGCTCTTGGTTGATGTTAATTTTGATTGGTCAAGGTCGTGTCCTGTTTCTGCATTGTATAGTTACTATTTTTCTGCTTGTGACTAGAAGGAATCTGGGCAACAACATGGACGTGCCCTGCTCTTTTTCAGGAACACCACTGATGATTTTTGATTTTTGCTGTAACCAGTCTTTACCATGATAGCTGCAAAATCGTAATTATCTACCCCTCCCCTCCACATTGAGCAGCATTCTGTCATAAGGAGCTCTCCTGTCTCTACCACACATTATCTACCTAAATGATATTTCCTTTGGTTACAATTACAAATTACAAAAAAATTTTTTTTCCTTTAATGCTCAGTTTGTTTTCTTGAACACATGCTTACTTTTAAGCACAAGATACGTTAAGGTCAATTTCCCTATCTCATTCTCCCAGTCCTGAAATCAGCTATTTTCTCCAAGCCGCCCAGGTTCCTTTTAGAGGGAAATACTAGAAGTTAAGAACTGGGTGTCCACCTTGTGTGCTCACTGCTTCTCGGAAGTCTACTCTGTCCTTTGAGCAGACAGCAGCATGACAAAGGATAAGTCAGCCTTTAACTGTGGATAGTGTTTCCAAATTCAAGTTGCTTCCTATATTTCTACCAGGCTTTAGTTTTAAAGTAATCTCATCTCAAAATGGCTTTGCTGTCGTCTTTGCTTTACCTAAGTTTTCAGAAACCCTTTCAGCTAAGAATTTTTTTTGTCCAAGTATCATCTATGTAAGATTACAAATAAACCAAAGAGGTTTAAAATGAAAAATAGAGACAGTCCCGTCCTAGGTTCCACTTGGTTCCTATGTCATTTTCCCCAAAGAAAAGAACTGTTTCTGGTTGTGCTAATTTATTTCGAAAGTTATATTTGTTACAAGTCAGCTTTACACTTGGTCTTCATTGTTTGCTGTCTTTGAAGTCAGCCTGCAGGCCTTGGTTTCCCAGGTGTTTGGTGTGTCTGCCTTGTGCCACTAGTTTCCCCGTGGTCTTGTTCATCAGCTCCACAGAGGCAAATGCAAGTGTTTTGCCTTGCTTCAGAACGTGCGCCGTTATCACGATGTCTTCTCCTATTTTAGCAGGCGACATGAACCTTGAAGGGAAACAAATTTAAATACAGTTAACAGCAAATAATTTTTTACTTTTTGAATTTTAAAAAATTTTTAGCAGCAATTTTTTATGAGGGGAAGTTGTGTGCATCTCTTACACAGCCTTCTTAGGTGTTATTTTCCTCTTCCAAGTAGTTTAGGAATAGTATCAGTAAGCTTTCTGTCCTATCAAATTTGGATGGCTGGTCCTAACCAAATTCATCTTCCCCATTCCATATCCACACAAGTTTTCTTTTTCCATAAATAGGGAAGGCATTCCCCCCCACCCCCGGCCAAGTTTCCCATCTCATATTTATTTGGGGCTGGTGAAAGATTTTCTCCAGCTTTTATTTAGTCTACTTAACTTCCCCAGGTGAAGTATTGCCTGGGCCCTGTACTGTAGGTTCCCCCTTACCTGTGGTCCAGAAGGAAGCAGATGGTCCTCCTGATCTATTGTCAGAAGGTCAACAGTAACCTAACACTGCACCCCTGCCTGTCTCTCTCCTCACTTCATCACGTGGGCATTGCATGTCCCGTCCTCACTAGAAGGCTGTGCACAGTACAAGGGAGTTTGAGAGACCGCACTCATACAGAATCACAATATATAACGCTTGTTCTATTTTATTATCGTTAATCTGTGCCTGGCTTATAAACTTTATCATAGGTATGTATGTATAGGGAAGAACATATGTATGTATATGTTTTGTATATATATTATATAAATATATATAACAGGTTTGGTAGTATCTGTGGTTTTGGGCATCCACAGGGGTCTTGGGATGTAGCCCTGTGGGTAAGAAGGGGACTATTGTATCTCGTCATATCCGTATTTAGGATTCACTCAACTGTACTGGAGTAAATTCTGCACTTTACTGCACTCAAAAACGATCGAATGTAAGAACTATGAGAATTGATAGAGGCCCTTAAACCCTGGTGATGAGTTGTATATATTTTTAAGAGACACTTGCCTACCTACCTTAATTGTAAGTTGTCACTCATTTATTTTGGAAATATCAAGAGTAAATCTCTGAGACTGTTTCCCCATTCAAATGAGCCCATTTTTGAAGCTCAGGCAGTTCTTGACTGTGACCCCTATCTGACCACATGTACGTGGGAACTGTGCGTGACTTAATACAAATTCTCAGGCTCGCGAGAGCAGCAGTAGATCTCAGAAGATCGTGAGGTGCTGTGCTCGGCTGGGAGACCTCAGCGCTCAACAGAGGCTCCTGAGGCAAAGTGGAGTCTGCAGCGGGCCTCACCCCTCACCACCACGGGGACCACGGTAAGGACTGCAGACCGAGCTCACCCGCACAGCAAGCAGAACCTTTGCAGATCTTAGTTTCAAGAGTATTTGCCTCTTGCCCTGTGATCTGCTGTTGCACCTCAATTTATTCCTATGGTAAAGAAGGGCTGAATTTTCCTAAGGTAGCCTGGTGAAAGGCTGAGATTGTATAAAACTCTCATAACTGACGTTATTTCCGTTGCCCTCATGTTGTGTAACACTGGCTTTCCCACCCTGATCCCTGCCCTTCCCCCCAACAAAAGTCACTGTTCCGTTGTGTCCGTGGAAAAAGCCGTTGTCTTGAAAGTGAAGCCCTGGGCCTGTGCCCTCTATTGATGGGACCAGCAGTGGTACTAGTTAATGCTCAAAATGGGTTTTTTACACTTGAAAACAGGTGACCCCTGCAGGCATTTTCAGGGTGGTGAGTGACAGCCTGGCCTCTGGGGGCCTGCTTCCCGATCTCCTAGTTTATGTCTGCAGAGTGCGTTGGCGGTTGCAAGAAGACACAGGATTGCAAAACCGGACATTTGTGTTCACCTTGTTACAAGGCAGTGGCAATGTATACGTGATGAAAGTTTATCTGGCTTCCCTTTGAATTTTATTCAGGCTTTTTTCTAGGCACTCAGTACAACCCTCATGACGCCTGTACGAGTGGCAGTTGCAAGGCAGTTGTGGAACATTCTAGGCCGGGAGTCTGTGATGCCCCACCCCCACCCCGCCCCTCCGGTATACAGAATAGGAGCTGAGTGTTTGCTGTTCGGAGTGTTTAGGTCGTGACCCCTTTATTCCTGATGCGGCAGTTAGCTCCTCTAGTTCTAGATTCTCTGGCTGTGGGATCTTTCAGGGCACCTCTACAGCTACACTTCAGGGTGACCAGCTCAGGGCACCTCCAATTTTATGTTATAAAGGTATTTAGTCTCAGCTGTTTGAAGTGAGTTTTCACATTTAAAAAAGTGCCTTGTAGTACCGTCCGGATACGTACGTTATGTTCATATCCACACTGACTCCCGGCGCTCCCCTCTCCGTGCACAGCAGAGCTATTGTTGATATGTTATCCACTAAGGTGGCTGTCATGCCGCCGTGCAGAGTGCCTAATCTGTTGGTGTGGGCGTCTTCCACTTTCATTTCACAAATCACTTTCCCAGGGGCAGCAGAGACAAGAGTCACCTAAGTGTAAAAAAAAAATTTTTTTTTCAACATTCTTTGGTATTAAGAAACCCAAACAGCCCATGAAGAATTATCACTGGATTAAACGGAGTCACTCCAGGGGCGCCTGGCGTGTCTCTTGATCTCTTGGGGTTGTAAGTTCAAGCCCCATGCTGGGTGTAGAAATTGCTTAAAAATAAAATCTTAAATCATCCCAAAAAAGTTAATTAGGAATTCAAGTAAGTTACAAATATCTCTGATAGACATGAACCCGTATAGAAATTGTTCTTAAAAAAAAGGAATACTGGGATGCCTGGATGGCTCAGTCGTTGAGCGTCTGCCTTCAGCTCAGGTCATGATCACAGGGTCCTGGGACTGAGCCCTGCATTGGGGGCTCCCTGCTCAGCAGGAAGCCTGCTTCTCCTTCTCCCACTCCCCCTGCTGTGTTCCTCTACTCACTGTATTTCTCTCTGTCAAATAAATCTTCAAAAAAAAAAAAAGACAAGAAAAAGAAATATTTAGGGAAAGAGTAGTTCTGGTTAATCTCCACTCTGCAGAAATAGTCAGAGCTTTTCAGCCTTGCGTATGACAGCCTGGCATCTCTTAATATTGCCACAGAAATTTTGGACCCACAAAGCTGGTGGGTCCCTGTGATCTATTAACCCATGATAGGTTTAACTTGGGTGTTCCCTAGTTTTTGCAGAGAGTAATTTTTATAATGATTTTGTAATGAATGGTTTTAACAATTTAAAAAACAGACTGGAAGAAATTCAGTAATTCAGTGAGTTACTAGAATCAACAAACTTACACCATAAACCCATTTTAATATAAGAAGCTCAACAATAGAATCCGACAGAGTTGAACTGCAGCTTTCAAGGTCCTGCCCATTTATAGTATTGTAAGGAAAAAGAATTACATGAGTGTCTCGAGCACTAAATGGTTCGATTCTACCTAACTGCTACCTCAGCATCTTCCTACGCTAGGTGCTGAGCCAGGCCCTAACGTACACTACACAATAAGGAAGGGATAATTTCCATCTCGTAAGTAACTTAAATTCAGAGTGGTTTGTTGTCAGGGTCACCTATGGTGTGGCAGAACTGACTGAGCTCTAGGTCTGTCTTCGAGTCTCCCTCAGCAGTAACTGTGAAGTGTCTGGATATGCAGTGTTCTCTAGGCTCCCACCAGGAAGACACCCGAGTTTCACAAGCCACAACTTCAGCGGTTTTGCTGTGGTTTATCCCCGAGAAGTAGGCCCTGAAGTAAAACAGAACAGAGCCATACAATAGAAGTCATCCTGAACAATTTTATGTCCTGTTTTGCTTAACAGGTACATCAGTGCCAAGTAAATATTAGAACAGGATCAAGTGTATTCATACAACGAATGATCTAACCACAAGATGTCCTCATAAACTAACGGACATATCAAGCAGCACCAAGGTGTAAGCTCCCCGTACTTGGGCACTGACTGAGTACGGCAAGCGCTGGCCATGTGAAGATGAATGAAGTCCAATCCCTGCTCGTCAGGGCTTCACAACCTGAAGGGAGAGGCGAGTACACGGAGCAGGGACTTCCTAGAGACAGAACAGATCCAAGTCACTAGAAGGGTTTCTAAAGGAAGTATGTCTTCAGAGAACAGACATTAGGAAGGGCTTCTTGGGGAAAGGCAACCAAATCGTGACAGACTGAGAAGAGTGAGTCAAGTGAAAATGGGGAAGGCAGCCAGGCAGGGCAGGGGAGAGAACTAAATCGAGCCCCACAGACACCAGAGGTAGTTTGGTGCTATGTAAGCGTGGGGTGTGTTTAGTAGAGGTTAAAGTCCCATTGGATTCTCTGACTTCAGCTGGGATGGATGACAGGAGGTAATACAAATGTTGACTTTCCACTGCAGAATACAGTTTTTAATTCTTTTTCTTTCTCCCAACTTGAAAGGCCAAAGGACACACAAGTATACAAGAGTGGTTTAAAATATACATTGGAAGAGAGAGCGTTTTGACAGTCAGCCTGACATTGCAAGAGAAATGCTTTTATGTGTGGCCGTTTTCTCATCTCCCTAGATGAAGGGATTCAGCCAGTGGGAGCTAACAAAGGAATGTCCTAGTCAACCGCCCAAAGCTAGTAAGTGATCTTATTGGGGAAGAAGCCAATGGAGAGCTGACCTCTGTTTGATGAAGAATGGGGGTATGAGTAGAACACTGTTAAAAAAAAAAAACCAAAAAACCCTCAGTTTCCATTAAGATATGGGCTGTAGGGGATACAGTTGTTTAAAGGTCATTAACTATGGCTGACTGGGAGTTAGGGACTGCACTCAGCCGCCCTGCGTGCGCGGTCTCCATCCTACCTCTCAGACGTGGACACTTGGATCCTCCTTCAACTCCGACGTCTCCGATTTAACCCCTGTGCAAAATCACCTCCCTTCACACCTCGCCTGGACTGCTGCAGACAACTAGGTCCTGCTGCGTTCCGTGTCTTGTGGGAGGATGTCTGGAAAGCCTTTTGTGATGCAGTGGGGTCAGGAATATATTTGCTGTGGCCCCAATAATACAGAGAATTAACTGCCCAGATACTTGCATTCCCGGGATCGCGTGGGTCGGGCAGCTGCAGGAGGCTGGCAAGAACCTTTATGGCTCAGCCCAGTCTGATGCACGGGCTCCGTGGTTTATCACAGAAATTAGATATGTGCACATACAATCATCTATCCCTTTTCTATATGGCTTGCAGTGAACTGTGTCTTTCCCGTTCCTCGTGCAGTCAGGTGAGCCTGTGTGACTCGTGCGGCATGGCGCCCTCCTCCCCTCACCCAAACACCTAAATGCCATCACACGGAACGTACTTGAGGTGAGAGTCTCCCCCTTCCTCCCTTACCTTTTCAGTAAAGACAGAAGGGGAGCCCAGAACCAACAGCAGTGAAGGAGATGGTCCCTAGCAGGAGGTCTGAATGTGCCTGGCACAGAGTAGGTGCTCAAATGTTTGCTCAGTGAGTGAATACGTTCCGACCCGAAGGGAACTACGGGAGCAGTCCGTGACAAAATGCACGACGCTGAGCAGCACCGGCACCTGACTGACCGGGCTGCGGGGAGGAGTCTCTTCCAGAAGAGCCACCCTGCTGGGCCCCTGGCGGGAGGCACTGACAAAGGCTTCCCGAGCCTCTACTAGGGACTTGCCCCCAAGCAGCGCTCTCCGTGCGGACATCGAAGTAGGGAAATCAACAGAGCTCTCGCATGATAGCGGTCGCCCGACGGCAAACAGTGTACACAGTGGAGCTGAGAAAGACAGCGAGCGATGCTGGGGACAGAGGTGGTGGAGGAGCCAAACTAAGATGTTGTCCAAGTCCTCAGGAAGGTAACAAAGCAGCAGAGCTTGTAAGAGCAGGCCAGAAATAAGAGACGTTAGCAAACGACTGCCACAAGAGGCACAACAAGCCCAAGGAAGAGCTAAGTGGACTTGAACGAAACAGTGAACGGAATTTAGCCAGCGGAAGTAACATCAGTTCCCTGGAGTGGTGGGGACAGTGACCGATGGGCTGTGAAGGAACGTGAACCACCACTAGTTTTTCACAATGGTAAATGGCAGGTTTTACTGAATCATTCTAAAATAACCTATAAATACAGACACTATGAAGGCCTCACGTTAGTAAGCTTTCTGCCCTATACGTGTTCTCTGCCGCCTTGAGCCTGGAAAAGGGGCTAATGGAGAAGGACCATCCCTATCCCATATACATTGAGGACTGGGGCAATGTCTGTTCACATCTCCTGATCTCCTCTCCAGGGGGTACAAACAAACTATGTAGAATTGTTGCACGTGATCTAGTTTGGAATCTAGCATTTGAATATGGAGCCATTTGCAGGAAGGGATTGTGCCTTGCAGGTAAGTAAATATGGTGAGTCAAGGCCCAGCACACAGCTTCGTTGTCCTATGACCGTGCCCTGAATCAAATAGCAACAAAGAAGTTTTAAGTAACCTCTCTCCACTGAGGAACAGCATTCCAGAAATTCCTGCAAGTCCTAGACTGGTTGAGTAAATATTATACTGCCTTTCTTTTTTAGTGTTCTGTGCTGAATTTTAAAAATATATATATTTAACTTCTATCAAAGCTCTCAGAATCACTTTCAGAGATCTTCAGAAAACAGAGGACTTGAATAAAAGGGCTTCTTAGACAAGTGGCAGAACATTTCAGCAGCACGCCATTTCCAAGTGTGCACGGAGTACTAATTAAACCTTGACTGTCTTCCATGGTGGAAGAAATGTAAATTCACCATTTCCTTCAACTGGGCCTCCATTCACCACTGCTAAAAGTACTAATGTTCCAGAATATTTATAGTTGCTCTGAAATGATGCCAAATCCCTTTCCCCTATAGTATCAGCAACTTCTGACTTGAGTCCATAATTTCACCAATTATATCTTGACTCCTTAAATCTTAGCATCTAAACCGCCATGTTCCTTCTCTTCATTACATTAGATTTTTTTTTAAAGATTTTATTTATTTGACAGACAGAGATCACAAGTAGGCAGAGAGGCAGACAGATAGAGAGGTGGAAGCAGGCTCCCTGCAGAGCAGAGAGCCCGATGTGGGGCTCGATCCCAGGACACTGGGATCATGACGTGAGCCGAAGGCAGAGGCTTTAACCCACTGAGCCACCCAGGTGCCCCGATTACATTAGATTTTTAATGACAACAATCATTCATTTTATATGAATTCATTATAATAAACAGTGTAGGGTTGCATTTCCTACCTACCACTCCTTCATTACTCTATATCATTCACTATCATTCTCCAGGCCTATTCAAACATGTATACATATATAGGGTTTCCCCCCTTTCTTTTTATAAAATTACAAAAACGGGATCACATTCTACATATTACTTTGCAGCTTCCGTTTTTTTCTTCCTAGTAAATCACAGCCATACCTGTAGTTCCAGTCACAGAACTCTCTTAATGGCTTTGTGCTATGCCCTACTATTGAATATATTAGATTTATTAAACTCTTGCTTGACGTGTGTGTTCTTGCCATATTTTTTACCA